AAAAAATAATTTTTTTTTTTTACTGAAAATCGCTGCAAATCCATTAATGCCAGTTACTGCAGTATCTTTAAATATGACAAACATGTAAATGGATCTGCTCATCTTCAGTGTCCGTGATCCACTGCAGGGAAAGGGGGGGAGTTTTTGAGGTTAGGTATAAAGTTCAACTTCAATTTTACTGGAACAATTTAATTTTAAAAAGCCATAAGAAATGTATTAAAATCTATAAAATATTCTTACTAACTAGTATAAGAAAAGATTTTTATATAATTTCAGTTCTAAAAAATTGCTAGATTAAAAATGACTTGCACTGGAATTTGTACATGTTGGCTCAAATCAATAGTTCTTTTCTAGAGAGCAATAATAGTCAGTTAGAACTTTCCAGGCCTTGAGGGCCATAAAGCCATCGGAGGGTTTTCACCTTCGCGTGCCAGTTTTCTCATCCGCGTTCCAGAGATGAAGTCAAATTCATTGTGCCTGGAAATGAGGAGTAGAGAGATCAGTGATAGAAGGAAGATATAGAACTCCGTTAGTTAAAAGGCTAGGTTCAACCTTGGAAAAAAAAACAAAAAAAAAACTGCAGGCTCCTGTAAACTAAACAAATGGAAAGCATTGCTGATTGTACGAGCAGTATCAGGCGCCTGCATACACTTCTTCCAGCTCTCTGTTTCGTACTCTTGTACAGGTGGTCAGTCGGAGAAGATTGTAGTCCACTGAGAACTACAAGTCCACCTGCCACCATGGCAGACAGGACTTGCAGTTCATTCATTCACAGGTCCCTGTGAATGAATGAAGTGGCTGTGTGTGCCCACCATTTACAGAAATCTGTGAATAAATAGACTAAAAGTCTGTAATTGTACCTGCAGCCTCTCCCTGTGACAGCGAGCGGGGGATCTTCTCCCTGTGCCTGCTGTCACTATTTAAAAATAACGCTTTCCTGTGAATGCCCAAACTACAACTACCATCAGCCATTGTGGCCAACTGCTTGTAGTTCTGAATGGACTGCGGGATTGCTGATGAGTAGCAGCGTCGTCCATTCACAAGCTCTGCAGCTTGTAAACAGTCAGCCCATATGAAGGTACAGCTAACAGTTGTAGAGCTTGTCTGCAGGTGCCTGGCATTGTACCCTTGATCCACTGATCACAGGTGCAATGCTTTCCAGGCTCCTTAGGGGGGGAAAAATAAATGCACATTTTTTTTCTGCAAAAATATGTCCATTTTATTATTTTTCCCAAAAAGTGACCTTATCCTTTAATGCTGGATGTGGAAAGGTGAGGTTCTCACTCCATGTACTTGGTACCTCCTCTACCATAACATCCATCACCTGATGCTTGTTCTTACATGCCAGCAGAAAGCCAACATCACAGTTCACTTTATTATAAACATATTGCACAGCATTTTGTTTTGTTTGTGTAGCATTTGCATGTGTGTAATTTATTCAAGAACACTTACAAAACATAACAAAAATAGATGAAATGTAAAGAATACAAGCATATAAAAAAGGTACTAGAGACATAATCTATCCTCTGTGGTATTACTCTCTTATCAAAAAAAATCATACAGCATTATTTTAGAGGGCATGACATCTGTATCTGGAATTATGAGTGTAAAAATATTGATTTAGTGTTGTCTGGTGCAGTAAATGTTTAACAAAGAGCTCACTAGTTAGGCCCTATAGGGTGTCTGTATAAACATCTATATTTAAAAAATGACCTATCAAAGATCTTTACTGCAGTCAGAATTAGGACATACAGTGCCTTGAAAAAGTATTCATACCCCTTGAAATGTTTTATGTTTTTGGCTATAAAATGACAAAATGTAGATGTATTTTATGTTGTAGACCAACACAAAGTGACACATAATTGTGAAGTGGAAGGAAAAGGTTAAATGACTTTCAAAATTGTGAAAGTGTGGCATGCATTTGTATTCAGCCCCCCGAGTCAATACTTTTAGAACCCCTTTCACTGCAATTACAGCTGCAAGTATTTTTGGGGATGTCTCTACCAGCTTTGCACGTCTAAAGAGTGAAATTTTTGCCCATTCTTCTTTGCAAAATAGCTCAACCTCTGTTAGATGGGATGGGGAGCGCCTGTGAACAGCAATTTTCAAGTCTTGCCTTAGATTCTCAATTGGATTTAGGTCTGGACTTTGACTGGGCCATTCTAACACATGAATATGCTTTGATCTAAACCATTCCATTGTAGCTCTGGCTGTATGTTTACGGTCATTGTCCTGCTGGAAGTCTCACGTCTTTTGCAGATTAACAGGTTTTCTTCTAAGATCGCCCTGTATTTGGCTCCATCCATATTCCCATCAACTCTGACCAGCTTCCCTATCCCTGCTGAAGAAAACCATCCTCAATACACGATGCTGCCACCACCATGTTTCACAGTAGGGAGGGTGTGTTCAGGGTGATGTGCAGTGTTAGTTTTCCACCACACATAGCTTTTAGGCCAAAAGGTTAAATTTTGGTCTCATCTGACCAGAGCACCTTCTTCCAAATGTTTGCTGTGTCCCTCACATGGCTTCTTGCAAACAGGACTTCTTATGGCTTTTTTTTCCAACAATGGCCACTCTTCCATAAAAGGTCAGATTTTTGGAGTGCACAACTAATAATTGTCCTGTGGACAGATTCTCCCACCTGAGCTGTGGATCTCTATAGCTCCTCCAGAGTTACCATGGGCCTCTTGGCTGTTTTTTCAGATTAATGCTCTTCTTGCCTGGCCTGTCCGTTTAGGTGGATGACCATGGCTTAGTAGGTTTGTAGTTGTACCATACTCTTTCCAATTTCGGATGATGGACTTAACAGTGCTCCGTCAGATGTTTAAAGCTTGGGATATTTTTTTTATAACTTAACCCTGCTTTAAATTTCTCCACAACTTTATCCCTAACCTGTGGTGTGTTCCTTGGCCTTCATGATGCTGTTTGTTCACTAATGTTCTCTAACAATCCTCTGAGGGCTTCACAGAACAGCTATATTTATACTAAGATTAAATTACACACAGGTGAACTCTATTTACTAATCAGGTGACTTCTAAAGGCAATTGGTTCCACTAGATTTTAGTTAGGAGTATCAGAGTAAAGGGGGCTGAATACAAATGCACACCACACTTTTTCAAATATTTGTAAGTTTTTGAAAACCATTTATCATTTTCTTTCCACTTCACAATTATATGGCACTTTGTGTTGGTCTAGAACATAAAATTCCAATAAAATATATTTACATTTTTGGTTGTAACATGACAAAATGTGGACAATTTCAAGGGGTATGAATACTTTTTTCAAGGCACTGTATACAAGAATAATCCTTATTTAGGGTCATAAATGTAATGAGAGTAATTAAGGAATTTAAGGAAATGATACAAGGCGAGAAACATTTAGTCAAGCTATCAGCCCTGTGAACATACTTGGGAAATATAGTTAGTGGTCATTTGTAAGCACATTCACATGGTATTGTGTGATCAGTGTCTAATCTTTTAGCACTACCGTAGTATAGCCAGGGGGACCATGTGGTAAGGAAGTTGTGATTTGTGTCTCTTAGGAGAGCATCTGTTCCACCTGATTGATGGGAGTCCATTTCAGGTACTAATTATGATTTTCAGGATGGGTATCTTTCCCCAGTTCCTAGTGACAACTGTACAGGCCACAGTCAAAATGATGTAATATGCCATTTTTGATTTGTTCTATGCTCCAGGAATCATTTAAGTTAAGCGGATATCCAGCTTTTATTGAAGTTTAAATGGTGAAGGTAATTGTTTGGACCAAGCGGGTTATTTAACAGATGCAGTAGCTGAGAGCGCTGTATAAAGTCTATATAGCCTCAGCTACATAGAGTATACAGTGCTGTATTTCGGCAGTGCTATGGGAACTCCCCATCCCACTCCTGGAACAAAATAGAGTAGGGCTCAGCCCATTCACAGGGAGCTCTGTATTCTATGGATACAAAGCTTCCAGTGATTGGCTGAGTCACAGACACTGATGCCATCTGCCTGCCTCTCAGCCAATCATAGGGAGCTTGTATTCATTCATAAATACAAAGCTCCACTGGATGGGCTGAGCAGTGCTTGTTCCAGGAGCTGGGCGGCAGTTGCCATCCCACTGCCAGAACATAGTGCTGTAGCTGAGACTACATACAGTCTATACAGAGCACACAACTGATGCATCCCACCCAGTAAGGCCCCTTTCACACGGATGGACCAGTAAGGTCCGCTTTTCTGTTTTTCAGGCAAGCCTGATAGGGCTACCCATTGTTCTCTATGGGAAGCAGATTTAATTAGACATAAGTCCGTTTACACACGCCTGCATCCGGTCCGACAAAGGAATACGTTCCCCATCTGTCAATCGGATCAGATGACAGTCAAATGTAAACTGACAGGCGGTCCATCTACACCTGACTGCCCCATACCGAACAGCAGGCTGTGTCTGCTCTGCACAAGCACAACAGAAATGGAACGGTCAACTGCATGCTCAGTGGGGATAAGGCAGCTGAGCAGGCAGATCCACTTGACTGATTCTGCCCTGTATAAAAGGGGCCTGAAGGTAATAGTTTGTTTACGCCAGCCTGGTCCAAACATGCTATTTAAATGTCGCTAAATGCTGGAGGAGATCAGCTTTAAGGATAGTGTCTATCTGGGGAAAAGGCTTTCTGTTCTACCACAGGATCACAGTAAGCACTTCATAAGCACAGATATATGGGGCTGACATTGTGGACTTTGTTCTTAAGACACAAAATCCAGTTGTGTCATCCTGATCCACGCTTAACTGCCTTGCAAGCTGCTGCTCTGGAACAAGCATGAGTGGAGTTCAGATTTTACTGTCTGCATGCTTGTTCCGGAGCAGCGACTCAATAAATAGTAAAATCAAGATAACAGCCTTTGCACAATATAACTCATTTTTAAATGGAATATGTCAATTTTTTTTCCTTACCTTTCATTATCATAGAATTCCATGCTTTTGGACTTGGAGTTGTAGGCTGCCACTCTAAAGGGAATGATTTCTACAGAGGTCAAACCTGGAGCCATGCTGAGCACTTTTCCCCCATGTGTTGGCTCATAAAGGTCATCTTTAGTCTCAGGATGTGGCATGCCAGCTGGGTCTCTCCCCACAATATAAAAGTTGGATCCAGCAATCATACGAGATCTGCAGTGCCACTGAACCTGTAACAGAGGGTAGATGTAAGAGACAATGCATCCTTTTTTTTTTTTTTCATCCCACCTAAAACACACTAACACTAGTTAGTGAATTTTAGGTAGGATTTAAAAAAACAAATGATCCTGAATTAGATCAGACCCTGATTTAGCCATTTTGTTTTTCAAATTAACGTCAATTTATTTTACACTTTTCTCCTCTAGCACAGAGAAAATTAAACAATACATAATTTTCTCCATTCACCAGTCTCCAGGAAGGATACTGTGCTGTTATTTTACTGCTGTTGGCTGCTAGGACCACCAGACTCCCAAGACCCACTGCACGTGTTTGTAAGATAAGAGTGGACCCTGATGGGGACTCTCATGTAATATAGGACTTATAGTTTATTTGGTATTTCTTTGCTTTCTTTAACAGAAGTTCTTTCTCTGTTGCTGTGAATCATTTCCCAATTACAAAAAAAAAAAACCCTTCCAAGCAAAACTTTTAAATGCTATTCATTCGTGTATCAAACAGATTTATTTTGTCTAAGAATATTTGTAAAAACGTGATATAGCCCTCCTACTGAAAAGTTTGCAGACTCGTGGTCGTAGGTCTAAGACTGACACAGGGTCCTAGCCCTGAATTGGATGTGAGGATGGTAAGGGAGAATCAACTGCCAAACAGGTAAGTAAAATTGTTTTTTTTTTTTTTTTTACCATCCCCTAGACCAGCCTTTTTCAACCAGGGTGTCCTGGGGTTTTTTCAGGGGTGCCTAAAAAATTGCCCAAAAATGATTAAAGCCAGCAGGAGAATGAAGCCTGCCTTTTAATTATAAAAAGCCACAGGTTTTCATTGTGTACCATTACAACTTTATAGCTGCTGGCGACATTACAAACCAACAATGTCATCCATTGATAAGAGGGACATCGAGCACCAGCACAACACCTTGTTTTCCCCTTCCCTGCAACATTCTCTCCGAGTTTGAGAGAAACTGAGGGAGAAGAAAAACATTGGAATACTAGTCAGTACCAGTGTGCAAATGTGTGTTTGCTTTGGAAGAAAAAAAAAAAAAAAAAAAAAAATCATCTCTACCATTAGGTGTCCTACATGTACAGCTGTATGCTGTATTCTGTAAAAAAAAAAAACTCCTTTAGTTTTCAAGATTGCAAAGAATTTTAAAGGGCACCTTGACTGCATAAAAGGTTGAGACACTGCCCTAGACCAATGGTCACCAAACTGTGACCCAGGGGCTGGATGTGGCCCTTTGCTTGCCTTTATCCAGCCCTTGGTATCCTGCTCCTCCAGCTGACACCAATGATGGCACACCATTCCTCTCACCGATACCAAAAGGGGACACTATTCCTCCCATTAAAACCAACAACGGGGCACTGCTTGTTTCCACTGACGAGCCTGCCCCAACAAAAACCTGAAAGACAGTATACTGGCCCATTTCATAGAATGTTTGGAGACCCCCTTGCCCTAGACTAAACAAGCAGTTAACTTTTGCAGGGAGGATGCATCCCCACTCCATAGAAGAATTTTCAGGTTTCCAAGAGTTCAGCTTTAATATTTATGCATAATAGAAGAAAGAAAAGGTTTTCACCTCAGTGGGTCCTGCATACAGCATTGGAGAGGGAAAAATGGCGACAATGGTTGACTTTGGGTCCAGAACGCCTTCTTCCAGCACAGCGGCATGCTGTTTCATGCGCCAGTCTAGTGGAACATCATCATCCTTTGTCCACCCTCCCAGAGGGTGTAAGAGAAGGACAGGGTTCTTATAGCCCCTATCCAGCAGATGAAGCTTGGTGTCTTGCATCAGTAATGCATGTCCATTATGAACAGGATTACGAAGCTGGAAAGCAAATACCGCATCTAAGAAAAAGGAAGAGGGAAAGAAAAAAAAAAGGAATTTCATCTAGCCTCAAAGTTCCTATATATTTGCTGCTAATTATATTATTCAAAGTAATTATCAGCATGTTAGGTCAAAGGACCATCAGGCATTTTCAATAAAAAAACATTTAAAAACGGTCTACTTATTAAAATCTACATTATACTTCTTGTTATGGGATTATTGCACTTTGTACCTTGCACTGTTCACTAAATACTCCCAATGTTTGCAACCAGCACTGCAAACTTGATTTGGTGGTACTTGAGGACATGTTGATCAACAGAGCGCCAAAGCAATGTTATAGATTAGTTTATCATTGAACAAACAGGGCTGCAGCCCTAAACCCTCCTAGTAAGGTTTCATAGAGGACAGTCTTCACAACCCAATGTAAAAGGTAATTTCAGGCCATTAGGCACAATGGATAAAGGGTAAATCATATTTAACTGCCGTAAAACCGGCTAATCATTAATCAGAATACACATGGTCATGACTTTAGTTCAACGTTTACATGGCTTGGACTTGGCCCTTGTGTGCACACTATGCCAGAATACTAGCAAAAGTATTTTTGCAATGAAAGAGAAATAGATTGGAGACTTTTCGTCACCGTATAAGTCAATTGGCTACCATGCTGATGCCATGGCTTCAATGAGCTGTAAAAGAAGAGGGGGTTCACAACTCATGATCTATATACTTGATTATGGTCAGTCATTAAGAAAGTGTTCATGTCATGGGATCAGTGTTACAGCCAGGCCACTGGCATCAGGATGTCAGCATAGACAGTTGATGCAGCTTCTCCTGCATGTTGAAATTCAATAAATCAATGGCAGTTGATTTGTCAAAAGCACAAGACTCTGGAGCTATCATTCTTCCCTTTGCTTCTCAGTTATCACTCATTAACTTAGAACAAGACACTTTTAATTGCTATCTTTGATCCAGGATCAGTGACACAAGGACATCGGTCCAATGCTGCATCTCCCCTGCCAGATCTGCAGTGAGAACTGAGCACCCAAACATCACTGATCGCTCAGTTCTCCCTCTCTACTCTGAGCAGAGAATGGTGACTGTCAGTCTTCAGCTCTCTGCTCCCCCAGTGCTTACTGGATCGCTAGGTTGTGAAAAGAGTGGGAGGGGCTGGCAGATCTAAACCTATGCCTTATTTACTAAGGGCAAAGTAAAAGGTTCAATTTCCCAGGCAGCCAATACTTTTGATCCTTTCAATAGGACATGAGTGTATAATCCTATATAAATCTCCAACTGGAGCTTACACTTGGCTGACTGTCTCCCCACCCCCATGTGACCACTGCTGGGTCAAGCACCAATGTTGTCACATGCTCCTCTATAACCAAAATCATTTCATCAGAAGTATAGCAAAATAGGAGGAAACATGATATTTTTTCAAATTGTTGTACAGTGGGCATAGAAAAGAATCACCCTCTTTAAAATGATCACATTTTGTTGCTTTGCAGTCTGAAATTAAGACAGTTTTTGGTCCAGCTGTATTTACTCAGTGCAACTTATAACACCAAGAGGTTAGAAAAAAAATAAACAGAATCACTGAGTTGGAAAAAGGATTACCCCCTCCTAAAAATGACTTGTGAACTCAATCAGATGTAGCTAATCACCTTCTTAGTGGCACACAAAGCCATTTGACTTTCAACTGTAACCAGCTCTGGTCATATTGATTAGCTCAGCAAGAAAAGGGCTTTCCTGGAGCATTTCAGTCCCTGGAGGAAAAAAAAAAAAAATAAGTATGGGTCGCAAGGCACTGTCAAAAGATCTCCGGGATAGTTGTGGACAGGCACAAGTCGAGATGGATACAAAAAAATGTCAAAGGCTTTATTAGTGCCTAGAAGCACAGTGAAGTCTATTATTAAGAAGTGGAAGGTATTTGGTACAACTAGAGATGCATCAATATATCAGCAACCGAAATGTATTGGTAAAAAATAGCTTAGGAAAAAAAGTGCAGATAATGACTGCTTAAATTGCAAAAGCGCTGCAAAAACTGCTCAGTGTGAAAGCAGCCTATTGGCCGAAAGGTGCTGAAAATATATTCATATTCATTTAAATTCATAATATTAAAAAAGTTGAATATAATTTTGTTAAAACAGTCAAATATAATACAATTCTATAAAAAAAAAAAATATATATATATATATATATATATATATATATATATATACATATATATATATATATATAATATATATATATATATATATATATATATATATATATATAAATATATATTTAAAAAAAAACAAAAAAAAGCTGTCCATTTCTGTTCGGTTTCCAGCCAAATGCATCCTGAAATTTAGGTTTCAGTCCAAGAATTTTCATTACGATGCACTACTAGGTACAACACAGACCCTGCCTGGATCCGAATGCCACTCCAAACTGGATGAAAGGTCTACAGCAACTCTGAAGCAGTTGCAGGAATGACTATGAGTGTGTGCATATGACAATATCCCAAATTCTCCACAAATGTAGCTTGTATGGAGGGTTGCAGGAAAAACACGACTCCTCAAGAAAGGCCACATGCAGTCACGACTGAGCTTTCCCAAAACACCTTGAGGATTCCGGGGCCACGTGGAAAAAGGTGCTCTGGTCAGATGGGACTAAAATTGATTTATTTGGCCTCCATGCTAAATGATATGTCTTACAGAAATCCAATACAGCTCACCATCCAAATACCACCATTCCTGCTGTAAAACATGGAGGTGGCAATATCCTGCTATGGGGGGTTTCTCTGCAGCAGGGACTGGAGCACTTACCAGGATAAAAGGAATAATGAATGGGGCAAAGTACCATCAAATTCTTGTACTAAACAAGCAGCGGCATGTATCCTAAATACTGCCTCTGCTGCTTTGAGAACCAGGGCTCCCAAGTATGGATTTGCCACCACTAGAATAGACTAATTGAACAAACAGTGCAGCCAGTTGGTACAATGTCATAAAATGGTTATTAGTAAACAATAATATCTCCAATATCTTGGTTTACCTGCATTCATTTCTTTAGCTTTATGTCTCAGCTCAAGAGGAGTAAGGCGGTATTGGTCCAACCCATCTTCCCACCTGACTCTTTCCAGAACCTCCAGATCTCCACCAACCAACCAATCACCACTTTCAAGTACCATCTGAAATGTAAAAAAAATAAACACATTTTAATCTAATTTTTGTTATAGGCCTATGTACAGTATGCTTACACATAATGACAATACAGTTAACAGCACAAAATAAAAGTGATTGTTATCCCAAATAAAATGATACATTTACAAGCATGTCATTGAGAACTACAAGCTGACAACCGCTAAGGTTGCCGGGAGTTATAGTCTCTCATTTACACATGACTGTGAATGAGTGACGTGGCTGGGTGGTCGGAGATTTCCTGCTAGCTGTCAAAGCGGGGATTGGGTGTGTGGGGGCCGGACTGATTGTAACATGTTATACCCTGAATACAGGTGTAATGTTACGAAAGGAGAACTTATCCTGAGTTTATTTAAATACATATTCATCAGTGATTTCATTGTTTACAGATCATGCATTATTATATTGGTTTGTGATTTTCTTATTATTTATGCACATCTGAGCAATTACACATGTGTGTCCAGGGAAGGAGCAACCAAAATCATTAGTTTTGGTTTACTTAGTGATTGTGGGAACACCATTTGGTTGCAGCCATCCATTTTTGTTTTTCTTTAGAATATATATTCACTGAGTTTCTTGATGTTTAGCGGGTAGCGTGGGGTATCACATTAGTATTATTTAATGGCCTGTACATTGATGTGCTGTATCTAGTGTACCATTACAAAGCTCAGTGTTTTAACCACCTCAATACCAGTATGTTTCTGAATTCCCAAAAAGTAAGATGAAGTGTCTACTTTCCAAAAAGGGGTCATTTAAGGGGTATACAAACTGTCTTGGCATTTGTTTTATAGTAGAAAGTTGCCCTTTATTTAGAAGGAAAAAAACACAACTAAAGAAAGCTGTCTAAAAAAACAAACAAAAACAAAATATAATAATAATATTTTGGGTACAACGTTGCATAAATCAGGTACATGTCTTTGAAACTATCACAGCACTAAAATATAACCTGGTACTGAAGGGGTATTATACACGTACTAAAGTAGTCAAGGAAAGGTGGACTAGAATGTGAAAGGTATACTGCATATATTCAGTTCAGACCAGCACAAAACCTGGTGTCCCTCTATAAGCCCTGGTTCACATATATGTGGCCGTGCGGGCCACGTTTTTCACAGGCACGAGAGCCCATTCATTTGCATGGACTCCCGTGCCCCTGACACGCAGGAAAGAAGTCCCTGCACTTCATTGGAAAACGCAGCCCGCACGGGAACCTGTTACCAGTGCGGTTGTGATTTCCAGTGCGGGCGGCGTGCCATTAGAACTAATGTCACCCGCCCCTGGGTCTCCATTCTTTTGTGTGGGTGGTGCGGTTGCAAGGATTTTTGTGCGGATCCGCAGTGTGCACCACCCCGCACATATATGAACCAAGCCTAAAGGGGTTGATTTACTAAAACTGGAGAGTACAATAATTTTCTAATATCCAAAGCCATGATAAAGTTCAGGTTAGAAAGCAACAGTATTGTGTAATAAGCTGTTATTCTAGTGTGGGAACTGGAGACACAAGCTGGATGCACTCATGTGACCCTTGGGTAGTATTACTCAATGTTCTTACACAATGCTCACACGTACACAGTTCAGCTACTCCTATGTTTGCTGTCTTTGCTTTACGAAAGTAATTGCCTACATCTGATTTACTACTGATGCTTTTGGACAAATCTGCAGAATGAAGAACCATTAGTAAGTAAAACTTTATTTCGCAACCATACATTCAAATGGAATGTGGAAAGCCAAAAGCAAGCAAAGGCAAAATGATTGTGGAACCAGTCTAACACTAGGAAGCTGTGTTATAAAACATCAGTACTGGGTTTTCACATTCAGGGCCCATTCACACTATGCACAGTTACGTGTGTTTTACCATGAAAAGAACACGAACTATGCTTAAAAATGTGCCCTCCGTGCCAGGCGCCTGACAAAGAGAACTCCGCCCCGAAACAAGTAGCTTGGCCCACTCACACCCAAAGTATAATGTCATCACAGCCAGCCCCTCTGAGTAGTGATCTTGATTCCTGCTATGAACAGTAATCTGCAATCATACGTACCAGTGCGAGTACTTCCTGGTGTTCATTCTATGAAAGACTATAGTGCTTTTTGGCCTAAATATCCACCTATGACCATCCAGAACTGAGCATCCATTGGAACCCACAATATGAAGCCACCAGCTGGAAGTTTGTGATACACGGTCTGTTGCTTTACTTACTACATGAGAGCACATTTTTACTGTTTATCCTTTTAGTTAATAAATACTACTACACTTAGTGCAGACCACTCCCCTTTGGTTTCGTTTTTTGCATCATATTTTACATCCACTGAGGAGACCATCCACCAGAAGCAGCACCCTATCCCGCCTCCACACCTCTCCATTGGGAATCATCAGGATTCCACCCGCTGGACATTTTGAGTAATGTCTGTTACACCATCTCTATGTGAGTGCATCTCCTAATTTTGTGTACATTGCCCTTTATTAATACTACACTGAGAGTAGTGCGCTTTCCCTCTCTCCTTTTTCTTATTTTATATCCAATCGGAGTGTTCTTAAGAAGCTACCATCTGTTTATGTCTCCACGTAACATACTGATACGCTTTTGTTTTATCCATGTGTATGTGAGTGCAATATTTATCCAGTTTGTTTCATTACTACTACACTTAGACAGCAGCACTCTCTCTCCCTGTTTTCTGTTTGCACATGACCATTGGCAGGAAACTCCAGAACTCGCTTGAAGACGAGACAGCTGACACTGTAACAGTGTAATTCCTCCACTGGATTATATTGCATTATATGGACTTTATTTTCATGAACATTACCTTGAGATTTATTGTCAATCACCTCTTGTCCCTTTACCTGTGAGGGTAGTATACTGGTCATGCTCTTTTTGCACTGGGTTCCAAGTATACCACCTTGTGGGGCCATATTTGATATTTTGTTTCAATATGTGCACAAGTGCACATTCCTAGATTGTAAGCTCGAAAGAGCAGGGCCCTCGAACCCCTCGTGTTTCGCATTGTATTGTTACTGTACTGTCGCATGTTCTGTCCCCCATTGTAATGTACAGCGCTGAGCGAACTGTTGGCACTTTATAAATACTGTATTATAATAATTATAATAAGTGCTACTTATCCTGGGTAAAAAAAAAAAAAAAAAATGGTGTATATCTACCTAATTTTTAGTCCGCTCTTGTCTGGTTACATTAATGTTAATGACCAGTGCCTGCACGGGAGAGCAGGGAGCCCTTGACAACAGTTGGGAATTCTGGGAGCTGTGTTGTCACTCATAGACTTCATTCACATGGCCATAAAAATCTCATGTACAAGTGCTTTTTCATTACAGATCTGAATGGTTTTCAATAAAGCCATTCACACAGGTGCATAAACATGAGCGGCTTTCACCTATATAGTACAGAATCCAAAAATCTGCATCTAGGAACCTGCGCTTACACATATAAATGCATGTATATGCATTTGCAAGCATGTAAATTAAGTCTAAACAAACAGGAAAATAAATTACCATAAAAAAAATAATATGTACACATATGCGTCTTTACACATTTGTATGCATCTAAACGCAAGTGTTTACTGATCATTATACAGGAACTTTTCTCCTAGAAAACACTTGTGTAAGAACATCAGAAACATTTTATGGCCGTGTGAATGAGTCCATAGGCTCCCATGTCTCAGCCATAGCCACTGCTCACTGACACGGGGGATGCTGCCTAGTTTTAGACTGATTCCAAACACATTTGGCTGTGCTCACTTTTAGCTATGATCGCAAAGTGTGGTAGCTTGTGCCATCATAAATAAACTCAAAAAACTCTAAAAAAGGGAGATCTCCTGGATTTTCACCACATTAAGATGATGGGACTGTTTGCTGGACACTTATACACTATGTTGAAGTATTTTTTGTTCTGTAGATTTAGAGCAAAATGCACTTTTACACATAAACCCCAATCAGCCATAACTTTATGACCACTGACAGTATAAGTGAATAACACTGGTTATCTTGTTGTATATCTGACGATCTCTTTATGATGGTAAGCACAGCACCTCAGGCTGGAGATGTTAATGGGAGAGCAGAACATTTGTTATAATAATGCTTCATGCATTTACAATCATACAGCCAGCTACATTCCGCCCTTGTCATGTTGTTTAGCCAGGTAGGTAACAGTATATTATATATAATATTCACTACTGCAGCATCCTGAGCACTTCCCTGCCTGCTCTGTGATCTATGAATGAGAACATTGGATCTATTAAGGAGAATGCAGGAAGGTTACCTGATAGGTGATGGTAGCACGGGGTGCCATCTTTGATGATTTTGGGGATGATCCAGTGCTGGTATAGCAGCTGAAGAGGAAACTTCCCTCCCACCCTCCCCTGGGGTGTTTTGGGTCTTTCCATGCTTGCTTTGTTTCGTTTTAGGGGGAAGTTGTTGGTCTTTGGAGGCGGCAAATTGTTTTAAGCGAGAGTGTATGGTTGGGACCCATCTGTGGTATGGTGTTCCCGGGGGCATTCCGGTTAACCAAGGTTTAACTGGAAGGTGGAGGTTCTACACTGCGGTTGGTGTATTTTTGTCTCAGAGTCGGTGCGTTGCAGATGGAGGCCTAGTATGATATTAGGGTTAAGGTTCCGCAGGGGGGATATCAATATTGTTTGGTGCCTTCCTAGACCAACAACTTATCCTGTATGTTTCTGTTTTAACCACTTCCCGACCGGCCGTTGCATATAAACGGACGGACGGTGGCAGTACAGGGTCGGGTGGCCGTTTGTGAACGGCCTCCCCGCACCCTGCTTGTGCGCGCTCCCTGGGAGCATGCAGCACTGCGATCCGGTGCCCGCTGTGTCCTCCGGACACAGTGAAACACCGATCGTCGAACGGGACCTCTGTATGAGGTCCCGATCATGTGATCACTGATTGGCCAATCAGTAATCACATGCAAAGTAGTAAGCAAGATGTCACTTGTGACATCATTGCTTACTACGTGTGAAATCTGTGAATGATCACAGAGGTCACATGGTACAAGGCTATTCACAACAGCCTTGTACCATGTGACAAGCTGTGACCAATCACAGCTCACTCTGTATTTCTCAATGAGTGCAGGAATGCACACAGAGAGAAAGAGAAATGATTGCTTTTACATCCTATATGGGTGTAAAAGCAATCATTGTAAAAAAAAAAAAATCTTCATCACCCTCCACAAGTAGTACAGTGTCACCATGGTGATACTGTACTGCTAGGGTGACAGTATGTAAAAAAAATAAAATAAATAAAAAATAATATAAAAAAATAAAATAAAAATGTAAAAAAAAAATGTTTAAAAATTATAATTTTTGGTTATAAACCAATTTGTTTTTTTTTTTTACTAAAAAGATAACGAAAATACATTTTGATAACGAAATACAAAGATTTATGATGAAATATTATTTATTTGCAAAATTTTATAAAAAAAAACACTTTTGTTCAAAATTTTTGGACTTTTTCCATTTACATAGCAAAAAAATAAAAATCCCAGCAGTGAATAAATACCACCAAAATAAAGCTTTATCTGTCGCAAAAAAAATGGTAACAAATTAATTTGGGTACAGTGTTGCATGACTGCGCAATTGCCATTCAAAATGTGATAGCGCTGAAAGCTGAAAATTGCCCTGGTCAGGAAGGGGGTAAAAGTGTCCGGTCTGGAAGTGGTTAAGGAATGTTTTTGTGATTTAAGTTGAATTGTTAATAAAAGGCCGTGAAGGCCATTTTACTCCAACGGTGTTTGGTCTCCTTAATTGGTAGAGGGTGAGTTGGGGGGGGGGGGGAGGTGGAAGGGGTATTTCGAGAGAGTCGGGTTGGTATGGTTTTAGTTGCTGTAGTCTTAACCAACACCTCTTCTACACTAGTCATGTAATCCTTCCTTAATGAACCACCAGTGCTCGAAACATGTTAGGCCGATAGACTCGTGCATTGCAATAGAGCCTAGAACATGGCGGACACTCCTGATCTCAATTCTTGTGTGCTGATAATTTGGGGAACGTGAATTAGCCAAATAGTCAAACTCCAGCCAAAACTTTTTTTTTTCTGTCTGTATCACATGAAAATTCGGATTTTTAATTTAAATATTTAATTGAACTTTGATCACCATTTTTTAATTTTAAAATATTTAAATTGAGTATTTTATATATTAGAGCACTTTAATTTATATCTCTATTTGGTATTTGAAAATATATAATTGGTATTTTATTGCATAAGATCATTAATATATTCACATTTGAAAATATCAGTGGAGCGCGGCACAATTTATATTTTATTTTTACTGACTAGAATCACACATTTATATGGGTAGGTGTATAAGTATAAGTGAACCACAGGAATACTACACATTGGTTTATAATATAAATTAATTTAAATACACCATAGTAGCTCAAAAACACTCCAATTTTATATTAAAATTTGCTTCACTCACTTTCTGACAGATGTCAGCCTTTTTTTTTTTTCTTGGTAAGGTTGAGGATTTTTTTTTTCTCATCAGTGGGATACTGTACATTTGTTTAGTGTCAAGTAATTTATAATAAAGTTATTTCATTATTTACAATTTTCCATTACAGATATTTGTTTTAGGGAGTATCCTATGTTGGTTCACCTTGTTCGCACACTTAGTGTTGCTGGTTTGCTTTCGGAACATTTTTATTGTGGTCTGTCAGGGAAAAAATTCTGCCATTTTTAATAAACACATAGCCAGAATAAAGGTTGGGCTTTAGGGTCTGTGTACAATGGCTAACAAAAAAAAAAAGCCAGGGGAAAAAAAAAAAAAAAAAAAAAAGAATTTGGAGTGTTTTTATACTAGCGTTTAGCGTTATTTTCTGCCAGAAAACTGCACTCAAGAACACAAAACAGATTTTTTTTTCTGCTTCTAAACACTGAGCTTAAAATAGAACTGTAAATGACCTAATGTGCATGGACACATAGGATAACATTAGTTGCTTCTACGGGCAAATCACTAAACTACTCTAGGAGAAAACTTCTTTGAAGCCAGTGTGCATGAACCCTAAATATTGGCTTTAAATTCTGCATTAATTTAGTATACTGTTTACAACCCACCAGAAATAAAACGGAAGATGATAAAGCCACTGTTACCATTTGAAGGTATTAAAAAAAAAAAACAAAAAAAAAAAAAAAAAAAAAAACGTACTTTGACATGAGGGTGCTTCGGACAAGTCGTCCCCCAGACGCGGGCACATCTCTCCTCTTTTCTGTGTTCAAAGAACTCTGGGTTCCTAAGAATCGCCACTTTCCTTCCTTCATATGACAGGGCGAATGCTTTCAGTTCACTTAGTCTTTCCTTGTCTTCCGTAGATACAGGCAGCACAATTGGAATACTGAGGTTGATTATACCTCCTAAAAGTACAATCATCCAGTTATTAGAATTAAGATGAGATAAAATGGGAAATTAAAAAAGTTGCTCTTTTGAGCTGTAGAATTCTCTTCCTAGTAGCCAAGTTGTCCCTAGAAACAAGTGCATCGAATCACTTATCGTCAACCCTTACTGATGGTGATGGCTTACAGCAGAACTCAAACCATTGCCTTCCTGAGCTGTAAATATGAAGGCCTACCCTTGATATTCTTAAGCCCCCGGTCACATCAAAGCTTACAGTGAAGTCGCACGATTTCAAAATCGTGTGACCTGCCGACTTCAATTGTAATTTGCAAGACATCTGATGTCTATGCAAATCGCAACAAAAGTAGTGCATGCACTACTTTAGAAATAGGTGCGGCTCTGACCAATTTGGAAGCGCACCGATATGACTGCTCAAATAGCGGACAATAGGGTGCGACTTTGCATACTATTTGCCAGTCGCATGGCATGCAAATCGCATGCCAAGTCGCACCCGATGTGACCGGGGTGTAAGTCAGAACACAGTAGCTCAGCAGGGAAGAAAGCTGTACTAACTGGATTGTCAATGCAGAGGCTTCTCCTGAGCTCTGCATTTTTTTTTTGTTCAGCCCGCTGGGTTGAACAAAAAAAGCCCCAAACTTCTAGTGTGTACCAGGCTTTAGGCTCCCCAGAAAGGATCAGCTGATGATGTAACATCCTCCAGCCAAGAAATGAGGTGGGCTCTGTCCGACTTGCTACAGCTTCTAATGCACACTGGAAGAAGCTCACAGACTCAGCTGCTGCTCTCAGTCTGACATCTATGCGGGTGCACAGCCCCCTAACTCACACTGTCCACGTTCAGCGCCAAGCACTGGCCCAGATGGCAATATGGAAGCATCAGCTGTGTCCATGCAGGCGCTGCGTCCCAAATTACATAAATGGGACTGCCTGCACAGGGATGCATGGAACACCTGTGCATCCCCATGCAGGTAAACAAGGACTTAGGCCAAAGGACAGAAGCATTTGGTATTATTCTTGCAGGACAGAAAAAAAAAATGCACGTTTTTATTAGACCCCAATCACACTGAGTGCAACTTGGCATGTGACTTGCAAATCACATGTCAAGTCGCACCCTATTGTCCGCAATTACATCGGTCATATCGGTGCGGTTCCAACTTGGTCGGAGCCGCACAGATTTCTAAAGTAGCACAAGCACTACTTTTGGTGCGATTTACATAGACATCTGTGTCAGATGTCTTGCAAATCGCACCTCAAATCAGCAGGACATCTGACTTTGAAATCATGCGACTTCACTGAAAGTCTCATGATTTCAAACTCGGGACCTGTGTGACGGGGGTGTTCACGTTGAATACAAAATAGGTTTAAAAATTGCTGGAAACACAAATGAAAAATGTGAAAGCAAATGAAAAGCTTCTTATCATTGACATTACAATTTGAATGTATGAGCAGTAAAGCAATTCTAATCATGGCATAGCTTTTATAGTGTGTGGTTATCAGGGTTGTTTCATATTTGTACACATTGACCGCAATGATAACACTGAAGTGCCTTTGGCTAAGTTGGCACCATGGACAATCTGCCTTTCACCTACAGGTTTAGCCTGCAAAGCACACACTATAAACGTCTCAGGAGATCACAATGGTACAGTAATTAAGTTTCATTGCACACATATTGAATTCCTGGTCTACAGCCAACAAAAGGGTGCTGCAATTTAATCAGAGACTTTACACCAACCATTCTTATACACAGAATCACAATGAAAACAGTACAGGGATGGTATATCTATTAAAATATATTGTAATAAAAGCTATGTTTGAAATTGATTTAACATTCTGGTCCTCTTAAAGGGATCCTGTCACCACTACTTTACTTTTTCAAATATGAGTAAATAATACACTTAAAGCAGAACCCTGGGGGAAAAAAAAATACCATGCAGTGTGGAGCTGTGCCAGCACTGCATAGGTAACTGCCCTTTCTTCTCTAGGGGTGAACACAGAGCTTATACGCACCTGATTGTTTGGAAAACGGCATGCCCCTACATCCAGCGGCAGACTGTTCTTGCCATCCTGTTTCCCTCACATTCAGAACTGGTCTATAGGCGTGATGACGTCAGAAATTGTCCACTGCACAAGATTGCTAGACTGCATGGATAGAAGCAACAGGCACCAGACTTGCGCTGGGAGGATTGGCAAATTAGGTGAGTAGATTTCCGCTCTCCTCTCCTCTAGACAAAAAACTAGCAGTTAACCCATGCAGTGCAGTCACAGACTCACTGTATGGGAAATGTTTTTCACGGAATTCTGCTTTAAGTGTTATAACAGGATAGAGCCCCCAAGCATTCCCTCTTTAAATAGTTATGCCATTACAAGTGCATGTCCACCCCAATTTTTTTTAGGATGGGAGAGGTAGGGTGGATAACAGTTAGAATGTTCACTGTTATCCACGGCTCCATTGAAAGAAATTTACAATTTACTCTCACTTCCTGTCCCACATTTTACCAGACAGGAACCGAGCAGACCTCTCCAAACAGCAATACAGAAATAAAATAGTTTTTCTTTAGTAGAGTAGGGGAATGCTAGAACCCTTTCAGAATTTAATTTGTCTGTGGTCCCTGTTTTGGATCAATTCCTGTCTGATGAAAGCGTTGTCAGGAGGACAGGATATGAAGGTAAATCTTTTTAATGGAGCCCTGGATAGCAGGAAAACCCAACAGGAATTGTGATTCTTCACCACTCTTTTCAAAACTAGGGAAAAAAAAAAAAAAAAGTTTTGCTGCTAATGGACACCCTGAGCTTTGCAGCATAACTTACAGTGAATTTCCCCCACCAGGGAAGCCCAGGTGCTGCACACAACCGCCCATAGACATGAATGGCTGTGCAGTTGTAGTTGGGTACATGCCAGTACATGTACACAGAGGTGCAGAATACGGGTCTATTCCAAGAATAGAAATGTCTTATTCTTGTATTAATACAAGTGTTTATGTGAGTGCCAGCTTATACATGAGTACAGCTATTCACAGTCATTCATTTCTATGGGCCTCTATAAAAAGCACCTGTGCTTCCCAAGTGGGGAAATATGCCCCTGAATTTACACTGCATGGGCTCGCAGCACCAAGTACAAGAGCCCTAAGCCATTCTTTATGAAGATTAATGGAGAAAAAAATAGAAAAACCAGATCAATGGCTTTGTTTACCCTTCAGAATGCATCACCTTATCAACTTTGCTAGATCTCTATGTGAAGACTGATGCACATTGGTGAACAGGACCTGGTGACATGTACTGGCCCCACTAGGCTACGATTTTAGGAAGCCTAGAGAACTCGGGGGTCTAAGCAAGGGATCTAGAAGAGGCAAATACACAGCGACAAGCCTGAACTTGTATGCAAGCCAGAGATGAAGAAAACTTACATTTTCTAACAGTGATGACAGGTTTCCTTTAAAATATCTAAGGCCTGATATACTAGAGTGCCAGTAACAAAGAACCAGAGTTCCAAGCACTAGTTTCATGCCTGCTCTGAAAATAAGGAACAGAATCCTTATTACTAACACTCTTTTAAATCAGGCTCATAAGCGAATATACCAACCCGATACTTAATTAAGAGGTCACATAGTCTTCTACAATAGAAAGCAGTAATTATCACATATCAGAAGGCATTAAGTATCTGTGATCATTAAGCAGGTTACAGTAATAGAACATGCTATTTCTGACATTAAGAGGATCCTTTTGTTTTCAAGTGCTGTTCTCATCTACAAGAGCAGCTCACAAGATTCCACTGGCTGCATGCTTACTTACCAGCCAAATTAAGTCAAAAGCAGAAATGTCTACATTAATTGAGGTAATTTCAGCAGCTGCGTATGATTGCATACAAATACCTGCTAAACAAAGTAAACTCACCAACAGACTTTGTGAATGATAAATCTGATTTATGCTTCGTATCTAAAGAAAGGTGCAGTTTAAGAAGTCACAATTCAGCTACTTTACATCGTACAAGTCTATTCAGAAATTGTGTTCCTTAGCCAGGAATGTGGCAGTAAATTACAGAACTTGTTAGAATGATTTTGTGTACATATAAAAAGACATAGCACTGTTTTTCTTAAAAAGTAAATTATAGGGTATTCTCAGCAACTGCATATTTTGGGATATTACTTTAATATATTTATAAATATTATTATTTCACACACTAGTAATTATCTCTACATTAGAGAATATGTTCAACATATCTCCCCAATACAGCTAAAATAAAAACAATCATGTTGTTACAGAAAATTGTTCTGAAATATGCATTGAGACAGATGTGTTAAAGCAAAATGGTGCCACACTGCCAAGCAGAAAAAACAGCCTGCATATAAAAATAAACATGGCTGTTCGGTGTACATAGACCATTGCAATCAAAGTTTCCAAAATGTTATTATTCATAACTTGTACCTTAAAGGAGAAGTATAGTCAAAGCTCTTTTGGCACTACTTCTCCTGTGTATATACATATACACACACACTGAGTAAAATAAGTATTGAACACGTCACCATTTTTCTCAGTAAATATATTTCTAAAGATGCGTTCAGAAATCAAGTTATGTGTAAAAAAATAGAATGACACAGGGAAAAAGTATTGAACACATGAAGAAAGGGGGGTGCAAAAAGGCATGGAAAGCCAAGACACCAGCTTAAATCTATCAGTAATTAGAAAGCAATCTTGCCCCTTGTCAGTGCAAGTAATATCAACTGGTTCAAAAAAAAAAAAAAAAAAAAAAAAAAAAAAAAAAAAAAAAAAGGTTCTCTCTTTATCAAGGTGCCACAGAAGAAACATCTCATGATGGGTAAAAGCAAAGAGCTCTCTCAACACCTTTGCAACCTTATTGCTGCAAAACATACTGATGGCATTGGTTACAGCAGGATTTCTAAACTTCTGAATTTTTCAGTGGGCTCTGTTGGGGCGATAGTGGAAAGAACATAATTTCACTATAAAACCAGCCACAACCATGTGCTCCTCGCAATATGTCTGACAGAGGAGTGAAAGGAATTATCAGAAGAGTTGTCCAAGAGCCAAGGAGCACTTGTGGAGAGCTTTAGAAGGACCTGGAATTAACAGGTACATCTGTTTAAAAAAAACACAATAAGTAATGCACTCAACCGCCACCGAAAGAACTAAAGATCAGAGTTCATAGAAGAGGCCCGTGGAACCTTCAAGATTTGAAGAAGTGTGTGGAAGAAATGGCCAAAAATCACACCTGAGCAATGAATGTGGCTAGTTTCTCCATAAAAGGTGGCTATTGAAGCTGTTATCACCAAAGGATTTTGTACAAAGTATTAAATAGATTTCAGTTGCCATGTTTAATACTTTTTCCCTGTGTCAGTCTATTTTATTACACATAAAACTTATTTCTGAACGTATTTGTTTTGGTTTCTTTTTATGAATGGATTGCATGGGTTGTTACCGAAATGTGGTGAACATTTCATGCCAATAGCACCTTTAGAAATACATTTACCTAGAAAAATAATGACGTGTTCAATTCTTATGTCTTACTATTGGCAATCCCTGAAATATTCTTGCTATTCACTTCTGCATCTGTACCAGATGACATCCTAGTATCATCACTGGAGTCACTAGTGCTAACTGACCTCCTACCCGACACCTGAAAAAACACGTTGGTCTCTGGTGATCAGCAATGGATGGGCCAGGCAGCACTAGGACCCTGTTCATTACTGGCCGCCTGCGAATTCCGTAGAGCTCATCGTACACTCTCCAAGTTTTTGTATTTAATAATTTCTATTTCAAGGCCTTGTTCAATGAGCGGCTGGGGGGGAAAAAAAAAAAACCAGGCAGTTGAGCCTCTGTCACAATTGGCAGGCTGTACAGCTGACAAACATGACCCATTCAAGTCAATGGGGTTGCACTGCAACGGCCCTGCAACCACGTGAAATGCACATGCTTGCTGCTTGGTGGTGTGGGGTTTTTCAGAATTAATACAGGCAGTTAGGAGGTGACATATTGTCTTCCAGCTGCCCATCACCCACTGAAAAATGTTTCACTGTGGGGATGTTGCTTGTGTCAAAGACCCCTAAATACATCATATTATTGAAATCATTCCCATAACATTAAGGTTTCCCACTTCAAAGGTATCATAACAAGAAAGGCCTACTTTGATATCTGAAAGGAATTTGAACAAAGTGCATCACATAATTGCGTACACATATTAAGAATAAAAAAAAAAAAAATATAAGAAGAAAAAAAATCAGACTGTACCATCCAGAAGGGTGTTGAAATGCATGACTTGCAGGTATTCTCTTTCGCGCATAAAACCCCTTAGTGGTGTGGCCCAGCCTTCACTCAGAATCTGCACCCACTGGAGGTCCAGCTGTAGAAAGGAATACAATTTTGTTTTACTCAAAATGAAAAAAAGGGTTATGGCTTAGGTACGAACATTTCTTGATCATCTGCTCAATTGTTCATATCCCATCTATGGTTACTAAACCTAATTTATAATATGCCCAGTGTTTTAATGTCTACCTGCCAATTCAGACATAGCCCAAGTAGTGCCTTATGGTAAATAACTGGCATATACTTGGCTACACATCTTCAAGTGGAACTTTAGTCAGAAAATTAAATCCTGCTGGATCATTTCAGGTTGGCCCCTTTTGCAGGTATAGCTATGTAAAAATTAAAAATAAGTGTCTATACTGTTTAAAATCCAGTAATACACTCTCTCACCCTGCTCTGCACATGCTCAGTTGCTCTCCGTTTTTAGGCACTGCTGAATTTGTAGATGCCGGTCTGCTGACAGCCTTAACCACTCGCCCTCCAGAAGATTTACCCCCCTTCCTGACCAGGCCATTTTTTGCAATACAGCACTGCGTTACTTTAACTGACAATTGCGCATTTGTGCAACACTGCACATAAATGAAATGTATGTCATTTTTTTCCCACAATAACAGCTTTCTTTTGGTGGTATTTAATCACCTCAGTGCTTTTTATTTTTTGTGCTATAAACAAAAAAAAGACTGACAATTTAGAAAAACAAACAAAAAACACCATAATATTTTTGACTTTTTGCTATAAACATATCCAATAAAAAAAAAAAAATTTCATCACATATTTAGGCCAAAGTGTATTCTGCTACGTCTTTGATAAAAAAAATCCCAATAAGTGTATATTAATTGGTTTATGTGAATGTTATAGCGTCTAAAAATGGTGGTATATATTATATTATATATATACATACATAATATATATATACACATACACACACATACACACACTAGAATTTTCATTTATATACTAGTAATGGCGGCAATCAGTGACTTCTAGCGGGACTAGGGGGCATTCTAACACTGGTGGGAACTGACTAACTGCCACTGACATCTCCAATGACACTAATACAGTGATCAGTGCTAATAAAAAAAGCACTGAAACTGTACTGATTACACTGGGCAGGAAAGGGGCAACATCTGGGGCAATCAAAGGGTTAACTGTGTGTTAGGTAGTTATTTTATTGTGTACTGTGTTGTGTTTTACTAAGCAGACGTGCTGCTTTCTACCTCTCTGCTGTGCAGAGAGATAGAAAGCAGCATGTCCTTGCTGACATGAGAGAGATCTGTGTTGTTTACACACAGGTCTCTCCCCTCTCAGCTTTGCTGACGATCACAGAGTTCCAGCTGGTGATTGACATCCTCAGGAGCCAATAGCAGCGTAGGTAGAGCAGCCCCTACCCGGAAATACAAAATTACATATTTACGTGATTTTGCCCAGCAAAGCCGCCCTGTACATCTGCTAAGAGGCGGCGGGCAAGTGGATAGAATAATGAAACCCTCCTATCCTTTACAGCCAAGGAGGGCACAACTGCCATTGTGTTGCACATGTGATCAGTTATGACACCAGCCATTTGATGGTTTGGCAGTTTAGTTGAGGACAAAGCAAACGTGACAGCAATCCCGGCATTCCATTAATGTAACTGTTCTTTGTAACTGTTAAATTGATGGGTTTAGTTCTGCTTTACAATTTGCTGCTACTCAGGGGCTTTGGATTTCAGCATAATGGCAGCCTCCAGCAAGAAGAAACAGGAGCAATCCTGGAGGCAATTTACAGCACACACGAATTTTGGTAGCAGAATAATTATTGTGGAATGTATGTTCCTTGCTAAAGAACATTTTTTTTGTCAAGCTGTTATGGGTAAAGTTCTGCTTTAATGTGTATATCCAGAAAAACCTTTTTTTAGTTTTGGATACAGTAGGGAAGGGTTACATTTTCTATCAAAATGTCATTGCTGCCTGTGTCCCCACTGAGCAAAGATTCAAACTTTTATTTGTATTGGTGACAGAGAAAGAAGAGTGTGAGGGGAAATCCAAAATTTTAGAGTTGTCCCCAGAACAAGAGGTGAGAGGAAATCTTCAAACGGGGACACCCGTTTCAGGAACATCTGTATAAGAGGGGAACTCACTTCACTGAGAGCTCTCCTGTACCTTCTTTTCTTCTAAGTGACAGGAGATGACACCAGAAAAAACTGGCAGGGGTTTTAATGCCTCTCTACTTTATCAAGGACTAAAAAAAAAAGTTTCCGCTATAGATACATTTTTATTTACCTCTTAAGTAGCCTTATTCTGGCCATAAATGGATAACATTTCAAACAAAAATTCTTAGGAAAAGTCTTAGGCCCCTTCCACACAGAGTGGGCTCCCTTAGAGTCCGCTTGCTCAGCAGGGAACCTGTCCACTGATCCTGGCTGAGCAGGCAGATGGCTGATCCGTGTCTGTTCCTTTATGCAGAGGGGACACAGAGACAGCCCCTCTCCTCTATGGGCGGTCGGATGTAAACGGACCACTTTTTTTTTTTTTTTTTTTTAAATTTAAATATTTATTAAATTTTTCATATTAATACAAAAACCCAAAAAGGGAAAATAATTTTCATACAAATAGACAATTATATAACCTTTCTACCTTTCCCTTACTAAAAACTCTTTTCCCTCCCGTCCCACTACCCCTCTTTCCCGCCCCTCCTCCCCCTCTGCAGACTCTAGCCCTTTCTAATCTCTTGAGGCTTATTAATTTTTTTGCTAACATCCTAGTTCATATCTTCCTATATTTCTCTTTCAATCCTGCTCTTTCCCACTTTTCCCATCTCTTGGAATAAACTCTCATCCTATCTTCTTGCATATGGTATGATCTTTCCATTCTACCTATCTGGTTTACTCTATTAATCCAGTCTACCTCCTTCGGTACCTCAGCTTTCCGCCAAAACTTGGGTATCAACCCTTTTGCCGCATTCAAGAAGTACCAAATACCTGAATCTTTATATTTATTTACAGATGTCTCCACATTGTGTAGGAGGCACGTTGTTGGGTCTAACCCTATGTCAATTCCAGTTATTTCTTCAATTAATTTAACTATTATCTTCCAAAAAGCCTGGATTTTTGGACATTCCCACCATATGTGAAACACCGTGCCTATCTCTCCACATCCTCTCCAACACATATTTGAGATTTCCCCATTCATCTTGTGCTCTACACTCGGTGTAATATGCCATCGTGTCACACACTTATAATTAACCTCAACCTCTCTCATACTAACATTATCGTGTATCAATCTAAACATCTTTCTCTGTCTATCTTCATCAAACCCAACTCCCATATCCCTTTCCCATTTTGTCATAAAAATTAACTTTGTGTTTGTGTCTAATTCTGTGAGTATTCTATACACTTTTGAGATACCGTGCTTCCCATCCCTTCGTGTCTCTAACAACCTTTCAAACATATTCCACTCCCGTTTTATTCTCAGGGGTTTCGGTAGGTTTCCAATAAAACTTTTCAATTGATGATATTTTCACTCATCTATTCTAATAAAAATATCTCCCTTCTTCTCTATTAACTCTTTAAGTGATCTCAATTCTCCCTCCACCAAAACATCTCTCAATTGGGTATCCTTCTTTCTAAACCATCTCCCTGATATCTTATCCTGTCCCGGGGGGAAGTACTCAGTATTTGTGAGAGGCATTAATATAGAGTTAAATTCCCATTTCATGTTTTTGTGTAAATTGTCCCATACCCTAAAGACATTTAAAGTGTAGATACTTGTGCTTTCTTTAATTCCCCTGAACTGTGGTGGAACCCATACTATCTGACTCAATCTATTGCCACTAAGATCATTTTCAATTGTTACCCAGCTTTTCCCCTTATGGTTAAATGTCCAGTCATATATTCTTGCTAAAACCACTGCTTTATAGTATCTCTTGACATCTGGTAGGCCCAATCCCCCTTTCTCTTTAGTCCTACCCAATGTTTCATATGCTATTCTAGGTTTTTTATTCTTCCAAATATATCTTGTTAACATTTTTTTCATTATCTTAAAGAAGGCTTCTGGAATTTTAATTGGTACCATTTGAAATCTATACAGTATTTTAGGCATAATTACCATTTTGACTAGGTTTATACGTCCTATCCAGGATGGATTTCCTCCTTCTAGTCTTTTTAAGTCTTCCCTGATCTCATTTATTAAAGAGATATAATTTAATCTATACAAATGCTTAGATGAGGCAGTGAGTTTTATTCCTAGGTATTTTATCTCTTTCTCTCCATATAAAGGGGAATTCTTTTTGTAGTTTTTCTTTTTCATTCTTTGGTATATTAATATTCAGGATCTCTGTTTTCGTTGGATTAATTTTTAAATTTGATAGTTCACCATACTCCTTCAGAATCTTCATTATATTTGGGAGAGTTATTCGGGGATTCCCCACATAGAACAATAAGTCGTCCGCAAAGGCCGCTACTCTATGTTCTATGGATTCTATCTGAATTCCCTTTACCGATCCACTATTTCTTATTATTGACAAAAGAGGTTCGAGTGACAATACATATAGCAGAGGGGACAGTGGACAGCCCTGTCTTGTACCATTAGACATTCCGATGGGTTCTGATCTCTCCCCATTTACCGTGATGATTGCAGTAGGCTCCCTATATAATTTACTTATCCACTCTCGCATTCTCTCACCTATTCCCAGCACTTTTAAGTTGTCCATCATAAAGCCCCAGTCCACTCTATCAAATGCCTTTTCTGCATCAATTGACAAGAGCACCACCGGGGCTTTCCCCTTTCTACTTTTCTGAATAAGCATCAGGGTTCTCAAGCCGTTATCTCTACCTTCTCTCCCTGGTATAAAGCCCACCTGGTCTCCATGAATCCATTCAGGCATCAGATCCCTCAACCTGTTTTGCTAAAACCTTTGCATACAGTTTAGTGTCTGTGTTCAATAATGAGATAGGTCTATAGCTGGAGCACTGAGATGGATCTTTTCCCTCCTTGTGAATAAGTACTACATGGGCCTGTAGGGATTCTCTCCTCACTTCCATCCCACCTCCCAGAGCATTCATATATTTCTCCAACTTGGGTAGCAGTACTTCACTAAATTTCTTATAGTACTTAACTGTATATCCATCTGGGCCTGGGCTTTTCCCCCCCCTGTGCTTCTTAATGCTATTTTAATTTCTTCCTGGGAGATTTCTGCGTCTAGGGAGTTCAACTGTGCTTCACTTAGTTTTGGTAATCCCGCATTTTTTAAGTATGTCATCTTTTTTTCATTAATTCCCTCTTGGGCTTCTTTTAGGGGGCCTTGGGGGCTAATATTATATAACTTTTTGTAATACTCCGTAAACACTTTAATAATCTCTTTATTTGAGTGGACCAACTCCCCCTTTGAACTTTTTATCTTTTCTATATAGTTCCTATTTTTCTTTTTATTCAAAGCTCTCATTAGATATCTTCCTGGTCTGTCCCCCCATCTATATCTCTCGTTCAAAACCCTGTTGTATACTCTTCTCTTCTCCTCATCCATCAACCTCTCTAGCTCATCTTTTTTATCCGATAACCTCTGTCTCGTATCTTTTGTTATTTTCTTCTTATGGATCTGCTCCAAGTCCAATATTTCTTTTAAGAGCCCACTGACCCTCTCTTCTTTCCTTTTTCTTCTTTGCTCCCGCCGCAATCAAGATTCCTCTTATGAATACCTTATGACTTTCCCAGACTGTAGCTATCGATACGTCCTCTGTTTCATTCTCCTTAAAGTATACTTTAATCTCTTTCTCGATTTTCTGAACTACATCCTCATCCAGAAGAAGACCCTCATTTAACCGCCACCCTAATCCTCCCGTCCACCTTCTTCCCCATCCCATTTTCATTACAACCGGAGCATGGTCCGAGAACGTCCTTGTCTCTATAAAATTTTAACCAGATGATCTATAAGTTGATGGTCTATTAAGATGTAATCTAATCTCGAGTATATCTCATGTGCATTAGAGAAGAAGGTATAGTCTCTGTCTTTCATATGCTTTATTCTCCAAGTGTCCACTAGTTGATATTCATGCATCACTTTTTTCAGAGCTCTCAGAGACCTACTCCCCTCTCTTTGCACGGAAGAGGTATTATCCTTTTGTGGGTCCATACAGAAATTTAGGTCTCCAGCTACTATCAGGCGCCCTTTTTTAAATTCCATTAATTTTTTCAGCAGACCCTTCATATACATCTCCGGGTTTTTATTAGGGCAGTATATATTGGCTAAAGTACACTCAATCCCCTGGAGTCTACCTTTTAAGAATAAAAACCTCCCCTCCGGGTCGGTTCTTCTATCCTCCAGCTCAAACCTCATATTCTTTGCAAAACCTATTGCAACCCCTTTTGCTCTTTTAATTGGAGAATCTGCATAGTACCATGTTGGGTAGTGTTTGGATTTCAATTTCACGTTTGCCTCTATCTCAAAATGCGTCTCCTGTAAAAATACCACTGACGTAGCCCTATGATGTAACTCATTAAACAACCTAAATCTCTTCCCTGGACAACTCAACCCGTTCACATTATAGGTTATAAACTGTATTTCTTCCATCATTCCCAATTAACTCCATCTCTCTTCCAGATTGCCTCTTCCTCTTTATCCCTTCTGTCATGCAGAGTATTGACCCAATACCTCCTCCCCTCCCACCCAACTCTCGTCCCCTCCCTCCCCCCCCCTTCCCCCCATCCCTTTTTAGGCTTGTAAAGTGCCTACTAATCATTTGTGGGATCATTCCCACCCTTGATTTAAGACTTTGGGGTTGACCTCCGCCCATGGGCGGCTCACCTCTCCTCCATCCTCCCCAGTTTACCTCTCTCTAAAAATTTGACTCAGAAAGAAAAAAAAAAAAAAAAGATGAATCAGTCCAGAAGAAATACCCTATTTTCAGAAGGGGGTGGGTGGGAAATGAGGAGCGCAGAAGGGAGAGAAAAAAAAAAAAAATCGAGTCTCTATTTCTCCCCTCCCTCTCTCTCCCCCGCCCCAAACCGCCCCCTCTTCTTCCCCTAACCCGCAGCCAGTCCTCTTTTCTTATATCTTCTAATTCTCCTTTTTCTTCTTCCCATCCTTCTATTTCCATTCTTTGCAAGTCCAATCTCTCACAAAAGACTCTCAGTTCCTCTGGAAATCTCAGATAGGCTGTGACTCCTTTTCTCCATCCAATTAGGCATTCTGGGGTTCCCCATCTATACTGCACCTTCTGCTTTCTCATTTGTTCCAATAAAGGTCTCAAGGATCTTCTTCTCCATAGGGTCTCTGATGTTAAGTCCGCATAGATTTGGATATCTAAATCTCTATATTTAATTATTGATCTTCCTTTACTCTTCCTCCAAATCTTATCTTTGTCCCCAGATTTTTGAAATTGAACAACTGTATCCCTCGGTCTCTCCTTCCCCATGGTCTGTTTGAACTTTCCTGTTCTGAACACTCCATCCAGATTAATCACTTCTGATTCCGCTCTATCCATTATGGAGTTTAGAATTTTACTAACTAGTTCATACAGTGATTCCCCTTTTACAGATTCTGGGATTCCTCGTACCCTAAGATTACTCCTTCTTTCTTTATTCTCTTGAACCTCCATCCTATAAAGAAGTTTTTTCTGAATAAAGTCCATATTTATTATCTTCCTTTCTAGTTTAACAATGGTTTGGGCCTGATTTTTAACTTTCTCCTCTGTTTCCTCCACTCTCAGCAACAGGTGCCCCAAATCATTCCGAATAGATGTCATTTCTTGCTTTATCATTTTCTCCAGACTTTGAAACATTTCGGTCATCTCTTTTTTATTTGGTACATGTAGTTCACCCTCAGGTTCGTTTTTTCTCCAGCCTTTCCACCGTTTGTTGACTACAGCTGCTATTCATGTCCAGTGATAATCTAGGGTTACTTCCCAGACTGATTTCCATTTCACCCTTTTCACTAGTATCTTGGGGCCTTTCTGGAGTACTATTTCCTTGAGTAGTATATTTCTTAATCGTTCCCGTTTGAGACCCTTTGAGTCCTGCTCCTTTAATTTCTTTATTCTTCATGTCCTCTATGGGTCTTGTTTTCTTCTATGACCCCTTATACAAATGTAAGTCAAATGTCTATGGCTTGTTAACCCAGCCTTGCCTTGCTATTTTTCCTTTTATTTTACTTTTCTGTGTCTCCTTATTCCTCTTCTCTTCTCCACCTCTTCTTGACCCTTGGGAATCCCCCCTCCTCTCTTTCACCTTTTTTTTTCTCCCCTCTGCCACAGGAATTATAGTACACACACAATGTTCCAGTATGTAAAAAGCCCCAGCCGCTCACACTCACCCGTCTCTTTACTTGTAAGAGGCTCTGGTCGTCGGGTAGAGGGCCTTTCTCAGTCCCAGGGGGATTCCTCCGGGTCTCCTTTGGGTCTCTCGGTCACCTGGAGGTCATCACAAGGCTACAGGCTGCTTCTCACAGTTTTCCAGGGTCCAGGGCCAGTCTGCACACCGGGGAACGAGGCCAGGAGTGAGCAGACACTTCCCTCTCTGCTCGGGATGCCGGCCGGTCTCACCTCCTCCCAGAGATCCTCTGCGGCTTGTCACATGATCCCGCCGCGTCTCCTCGTCTCCCGGCTGACCCGGCTCCTGCCTCTCTTCACGGGCCACTCAGCTCCCCTGCTCTCTGGCCTCTCCTGCTCGGCCCCCACCTAACTCCGGTGAGTCTGCCCCTTCATTTTTTTATTTCCGAGGGTCCCTGGGAAGGATGGAAAGCAGAGCCTAGCAGAGTGCTAGTGCCTTACGCTCTCTTCGGCCGCCATGTTCGGGCTCCCTGTAAACGGACCACTTGTCCATTTACACCTGACTGCCATCCGATCCGGGCGAGCACGGGAGGACAGGGGTGCTTTCATTTTCTTTTTTATATTAATCTGTTTTTTGTTCACGGTTTTTGCTGTCACCAGGATTGCAAAACATGCTGGTGACAGCAATAGTCACGTAACCAGGTACTCTTTAGAGAGAGATAAGACCCCAAATCCCTCCTCTGCACTTAAAAGCATTCAAAAACACCAAGATCAGCGTTTCTGAATGCTTTCATTTTTTAAAAATGGCGCGGTTTACTTCCAAGTAAAATGGAAGTGATGTCAGGTCATCGCTTCCAGTTTACTATAATGGAGAACCGATTAAAGCCAATCCCGGCTTTGGTCGGCTGTTCAGCCAGCCAGCGCCTGCACCTGCTGGTGTCACGGTCTCCTGGTGGGATGGGAGAGCCCGAGAGAGTGGCGGAAGATGGCAGGAGGAGGGGGAACATCCCCTCCTGCTGCTTGTAATAGCAATCTAGTGGCTGAAAAGCAGCTCTGATTCCTATTACAAGCCGACCGCTGGCTCTAAAAAACGTCAGGCATCACTCCGGTATAGACACTGAAAGTCCAAGACTTGCAGGGAGCTGCTGAAAGTTTGTTACCTTAGTGATCTGAACTGAAGGCAAGTTCCCAGCTTCTTCACGGGCTTCATCCAGTCTGTTCTCAGGCACAAATAATTCATGGACGTCCTTTGTAGCCGATGATGGGACAATAGCCTGTACAGAACAGAAGTATTGTGTATTATTACTGTGCACTTGTCCAGTGCTTAATAAGTAATCATATAAAGATAATGCAGTAGCTTTCAAGGCAGGTAATGGAGAGTCCAGGAAGCAGCTACACACCACCAGGGGCGGACTGACAAACTCATGGGGCCCCCGGGCAATAGGGATCATGGGGCCCCTGTGTCCTTGCCCAAACTCAAAAAAGCCTATGAAAAAAAAGGTACCAGGGGCATCTCATGGGGCCCCCCTACTGACCCCGGGCCCTCAGGCAGTGCCCGAGTTTCCAAATGGTCAGTCCGCTCCTGACCCCCACAGACAATGAAGATGATGAGCACAGAATGCCAGTTTATCTGTTCAATATTTCACTGCTGCCTTTCAGTTCTATCTTACCCCCTCTTGTAAAAGCTCCACAATCTGCTGGATACATTCATTTACAGTGTTTAGGTTGGTCTTTAACACCAGTTCTGGAGCTTCTGGTTTCTCATATTCAGAGTCAATTCCAGTGAAACCTACCATTAAAAAAAAGAATGGTTAGTTGTTGGTTTTGAGAAGATGACACTGTACAAAAGACAGCAATAGACATCCACAGAAAAATGATAAATATCTATTTATTAATAATATACAGGCCATAGTATTTCATAGCATTCCCCATCTGTAACACAGTCCTAAGAAAAATCTAATAAATCCACAGAAATATAGAGCCGTTAAAGAACATTTTGTAGATAACAAAAGACAACTCAAACTTGGCAGGTAGATCCTTTAAAATCTAACTTATTGTTACTTTGAATAGTTTGTTTGGACCAAACTGGCACATTAGTAAAGGAACTTTTTTGTTTAGGCAGCTTGGCTCAAGCATACTATTTAAAGTTAAAAAAAACCCGGAGTTCAGCTTTAGAAGGTAGTGAATCCTGTTCAATAATGAAGTATCACACATGGTAAAACATTGTAAAGTTTTTGTAGGTGGTGACAAGAGTGTAAAAAAATTAAAGAGCACTAGGTGGATAACAGAGCTGGATCTTTTTTAAAATTAGCAAACAAGTAAACTAATTACTGTCATTAGGTAAGGGGTAAGGCCGGCCATAGACGGTTCGAATATCGACCATTTTGGCAGGGACCAGCCGAGATTCTAACTATGTATGGGCAGGATGAATGTACCAAAGTTGATTGATTGATCGATCAACTTGGGTACAAACAAGCCTGTCAGATTTTACATGGGATTATTGCCAGCGCCTACTATAGCCGCTAGCAGTAATCACTGTGTTCTCCCAAGGGGGACTGATCCCCCCACCCCCCGCGCTGGGAGAACACAATAGCTCCGTGGGAGGAATTCCCCCCCCCCCCATCAACACTGACTGGTTGCAGGAAAGAAATTCGCTTCATCTTCGCCCAGCTTAAGACTGCCCATAAATAGCTTAACAACAGCAAGTAATGCATCTGGCTTATCTTAGCATCTCTAACATGAATGTAGAATTTATGAGAACCTCAGGCAGCAAGTGCTCTTAAAGTGGAACTAAACCCCCCAATGCTTTACAGCCAGGAAGCTGCCATCTTGGTCTCAGTTAGTACTGTAACAGTAGCTGTGCTTGCCTTGAATGCAATTGTTTTGGAAAACAGTTAGATTGGTGGGTTTATTTCCCCTTTGAAAACATAGGTCTGCCTACCCATTGGTAACCTTAGATGAGCAGGAAAAGAGGAGTCGTATTAAAGAGAAATTAAATCTGGTTATCCTTTACAGCTAAGGAAGCTGCCATCATCTTAGGCTGCTTTCACACTGATCCGTTTTCCTTCCACATTTGCATTTAAGAAAAGCGGAAGAGAAACGTGTGACCATATATTCCCATTGAACTCCGTTGCGGGTCAGGTGCATTTTTTTTTAAAATCCTGCTTCCCACATTTTTGGTACAGATTTGGTTAAAAAAAAAAAAAAAAAAAAAACACAACACCTCCCCACTGAAATCAATGGAAAACATGGACAGTGGAAAGTGTTTCTGAGTCATGTTTCCTGTAAAAAAAAGTAGCAAAAACGCGTTAAGCCATATATGCGTTTTTGTTGTGTTTTTTCTAGGATCCTTATCAAAGAAGCCTTAGCCTCTGTGATCTGCAGTTGTCATGGTGCTGCACATTTGACCAGATACTTGATGGCTTGACAGTTTGGTTGAGAATACAAACAAATGTGACAGTTATCATTCAGGGCATGCTTGGAATGTACTGTAACGGTTTTGGGGAACTAGTAAATCAATGGGCTTAGTTCCACTTTAAGGAAGGAGCAAATATAAGAATTTAAATACACAATAAAACATTTCTTTTCTAACCCACCTTTGATTTCTCCAGCTCTTGCCTTCTTGTATAAACCCTTCACATCTCTGCTTTCACAGATATCTAAAGGAGCATCCACAAAGACCTCGAAAAATGGCAAACCAGCAGTTTCCTGTACTTTGCGAGCCTCCAGCCGATCCTATGAGGCCAAAAGAACTGAGCTCTTAGACTTCTAAGAATGGACGCTGAGAAAAATAAACCGTTTTTCTCTTAAAGGAACACTAAAGACATGAAAAGGTACAAAATTCAATATTGGCTTTTAAGTGTTTAGAACCTGCAACACTGGGATCTTTGGTTCAATTAGTGTATCTGTAATGATAAGGAAGACTAGAAAACAGTGCACACAGGAGGCTATTGATCTTTCTAATTTTACATCAAAATACTATGGAGAAGCACTTTATAAAGTTTAAAGGAAACCTATACCAAGACATTTGGAGGCTAGCATTGCCGAACTCCTTAAAATGCTGGTTGTTTGGCTGTCTCAGGCTTAAATTCTGGCCTAAAACAAGCTTGCAGATCAGTAAAGTCAGAGTGAATTCAGGTCACAGAAAGTACTGAAGCCATTGGATGAACATGGCAACTTGAATTTCCAGATGTGGTCTTCATAAATGGTCAGTACAGGCATTAAGGAAATTGTATACAGTGAATCCTATAAAATGATAGTAATATTGCAAATGAAAGAGAAAGTGCCGTTTTGACCATCAATCAGGATTCAAACAAACTTTCTCTTATTAAGTGCAGGTTGAAATAGAATTATATTTATACAGAACTGTGCCATCACCCATAGTAGCTGAATTGATGTCTGATATCATTTTGGGCATGTTATAGAACCAAATTAACAATCTGATCATATGTAATGGGCAACAAACAGACATTTGCGAAAAGCACATGGAAATGTTAGCTGAGGCAGTTCTGCACTGAAGTAGACCCCATGTAAAATAATACCTTAGCATAAGGAGAGATGAAGCTGGTAATGCACACCAGACCCGCATCGGCAAAGAGCTTTGCAACCTCAGCAATACGGCGGATGTTCTCTTCTCGATCTTCAGAGGAGAAGCCCAGGTTCTTGTTCAGTCCATGACGAATGTTGTCACCATCAAGAGAATAGCAGGGAATGGCATGGGTCACTAAGTATTCTTCAAGGGCAAAGCCCAGAGTTGTTTTGCCAGCTCCTGACAAACCTGCAAAAGCCAAAGCATATCAAGAGCACTGGACAAAACATCAGGCACAGAGGCCAAAATTAAAGATTAAAGGCCACAGATTATCCTGGGAATCAACAACTAGCATCCCCTAACTGCAATAGCACTTTCTTTGCAGAAATATGCTTCTGGCTTTATTTTCCCTGCATGTCGCAAAGTTTTTAAACACAGTGTTACAGTCTTTCACCTGCAGAAAATGCTGCTTTTTGTGATTACCTATACAATATCAGATTGTCACAAATGTCATTATTTGCTGTAGAAGACAAAGAAAAAAAAAAAAACATGAAGGGATACTTTAAGAAGTGAGTCAAGAGAAGCCACCGTTGACCCAATATAACAAAATAGCTGATATAGGAGGGGGAAAAAATTCTAACAATGAACATTAGCCAGGAATTCAGCATTACCGACAAGGAACTGTTCAGCTTTATGTACAGTGAAGGAAATAAGTATTTGATGCCCTGCTGATTTTGAATGATCGGTCTAAAAATCAAATGGTAGGTGTATTGTAACACAGAGAAGGAATAGCAACAAAAAATTCAAAAGAAATGCATGTCTAACAAATTATGCACTGATTTGCATGTTCATGAGGGAAATAAGTATTTGATCCCCTTCACAAAACATGACTTAGTACGTGGTGGCAAATCCGTTGTTGGCAATCACAGAGGTCAGACGTTTCCTGTAGTTGGTCACCAGGTTTGCATACATCTCGGGAGGGATTTTGGCCTACTCCTCTTGCCAAATCCTCTCCAAGTCATTAAGGTTTGGTGGCTGACGTTTGGCAACTCGAACTTTCAGCTCCCTCCACAGATTTTCAATCGGATTAAGGTCTGGAGACTGGCTAGGCCACTCCAGGACCTTAATGTGCCTCTTCTTGAGCCACTCCTTTGTTGCCTTGGCCATGTGTTTTGGGTCATTGTCATGCTGGAACACCCATCCATGACCCATTTTCAATGCCCTGGCTGAGGGATGAAGGTTCTCAGCCAAGATTTGATGGTACATTGCCCATTGTCCCTTTGATGTGGTGCAGTTGTCCTGTCCCCTTAGCAGAAAAACACCCCCAAAGCAGAATGTTTCCACCACGTTTGACAGTTGGGATGGTGTTCTTGGTGTCATAGGCAGAATTCCTCCTCCAAGCACAGTGAGTTGATGTCAGAAAGCTCGATTTTGGTCTCATCTGACCACAACACTTTCAACCAGTCCTCCTCTGCATCATTCAGATATTCAGTGGCAAACTTCAGATGGGCCTGGACATGTGCTTTCTGGAGCAGAGGGACCTTGCGGGCACTGCAGGATTTCAATCCTTATTGGCGTAGTGTGTTACCAATTGTTTTCTTGGTGACCGTGGTCCCAGCTGCCTGGAGATCATTGACAGATCCTCATGTGAGGTTCTGGGATCATTCTTCACTGTTCTCATGATCATTGACACTCCACGAGGTGAGATCTTGCATGGTGCACCAGACCTAGGGAGACTGACAGTTGTTTTGTGTTTCTTCCATTTGCGAATGATTGCACCAACTGTTGTCACCTTCTCACCAAGCTGCTTGGCGATAGATTTGTAGCCCAGTCCAGCCTTGTGTAGGTCTACAATCTTGTCCCTGACATCCTTGGACAGCTCTTTGGTCTTTGCTATGGTGGAGAGTTTGGAATCTGATTGTTTGATTGCTCCTGTGGACAGGTATCTTTTATACAGGTAAAAAATGAGATTTGCAGCACTCCCTTTAAGAGACTGCTTCTAATCTCAGCTTGTTACCTGTATGAAATACACCTGGTAGCCAAAAATCCTGCTGAATGATAGGGGATCAAATACTTATTTCCCTCATGAATATGCAAATCGGTGCATCATTTGTTAGACATGCATTTCTATTGAATTTTTTGTTGCTATTCTGTCTCTCAGCGTTACACCTACCATTCGATTTTTAGATTGATCATTTCTTTGTGAGTGGGCAAACATTCAAAATCAGCAGGGAATCAAATACTTATTTCCTTCACTGTAGTATGTATCAATCAGGTACACAAGGTATCAAGGCTAAATAGAGAGCTAAAGCTGCCCAAAGACATATGATGGTAGACAGGTATGAACGCAAAACATTCTTTTATTTTAGTACCAAATTTCAGTACCAGCCTAGTCTACAGTGAGCAATAAGGAATGACATGAAAAATCTCATGGTGCCCATATAATCTATCATTATAGAAATACAGGTACTCTGATCCTTTACCTTCTGAAAATGCTAGTTACCTGGCTGTTATCCTGACCCACTGGCTTTAGTACTTTCATTGACTCAGGATCATGGAGGTGCTCAGAAATATCCAACTGTCAACATCCTGACAAGGTAATTGATCTCAAATTTTTGAAGGTGTTATGACTGTATCATACATCATACAGGATGATGTGTTCAGACAGGTTGGAGGACCTTGCTTGACCACTGTCATTTCCTACCCTAGTGAACAGAATCAGTATGATCTACTCTCTGTGAAGCCAATGTCTGTCCTGCCCCACTCCAGTGCCCAAACAGAAATGTTTTTGCCACTCACATACAGAAGCTGTGCCCACAGACATCATGAAATGGTAGACTTGTGCAGGCACATTCAACCCTCCACTGCAGGCAGCACAGTGGCTAAATGGTTAGCACTTCCGCCTAGCACCACTAGGGTCATCGGTTCAAATCCCAACCACGGCACTACCTACTTGGAGTTTGCATGTTCTCCCTGCCTGTGTGGGTTTCCTCCCACACTCAAAAGACATGCTGGTAGGTTAACTGGCAATAGTATGTACGAACGTGAGTTAGGGACCTTAGATTGTAACTTCCTTGAGGGCAGGGACTGATATGAATGTACAATATATGTGTAAAGCGCTGTGTAAATTGATGGCGTTATACAAGTACCTGTAACAAACTAATAATAATGTCAAATAGGCTGTAGCAGTCATCTTCCAATCAAACCAAAGTTGGGCAACAAGGCACCATAACATACTAGGTTATAAATTTAAAATCTGCATGTATATTGGTTTCATTATATCAATTATGAAAACCATTTACAATTTCTTAAGCATTTAATGGTAGAACACAAAAAACCATCTTACCTGTCAACCAAACGGTGCAGCCTCGAAAACCCCCTCTGGTGCCAACAACTTGGCCTCTCTTGTTTCTACTCACATGGTGAGATTGATATACAACATTGGTGGCCTTCTGCAAATGACCCTGGAAAAAGTAGAATGGAGATAAACATATATGCGGTATTCACCATTCTTCAGATTGTTTTCATATTTATAGCAAAGAATTTTCATCTTGGCATCATATTTATATCATATTAAGCCTCTGCAGAAATTTGCATGGCAAATATGGATCTTCTTTAAGTATACTGAACTATTTTTGGGTTTTTTCTGATAGCTATATTATTGAGCAAAAACAATATTGTGTATTGGAAACATAATTGTTAATGTAACGAATGTATAACCCTTCACATGAGACATGTGTTTCATTGACACATTGCTATGTTTTATATTTAACGTCATCACCCAAGGTCAGTGACCTACAAACAATGGAGGCAGGATCACCAACAGTCAAGGAAAAAAAAAAAAAAAAAAAACACATGAAAGATCATAGTATATATAAAAGATAACAGGGTCATAGTTCTCTAGGGCTGTGTCAGAGTTCAGCGAACTGACAGAATGATGAAAGCTAAATACAAGGAAAGGAGGTAGAAAGTCGTCCAAAGGCTTCAAACATGAAGTACATAAACTGATCATGTCCACAGATTTAGGGCTCATTTACACTTGGCATTGGAAATGTTTTTTTAAAGCGCTGAATGCCAAAGTCACTAAATACAATGGTAAGCATACAGTCCTGTTTACACGTTGCTTTTGCTTTGCTTCCTGGAAAAAATGTACTCAGTGTTGCTTTCTTGGGGCTTTCAGGCATCTCCAAAGCCTCCACAGAACTCAATGACAAAGTTCGCTTACAGCAACTGCAGCTTTTCAGAGGTTTTTATTCAGCTTTAGCTTTGCTTTGGAGGTATTGCAGGTATGAGGTATCCCAGGATGCACTGGGAAACCAACAAGCAAACCAGAAAGAGGTCATCAGCAGTCACTTCCAGTTTATGTGTATATATTGTGGAAGTGTCTGGTGCAGACGTCACATCTGGTGTGCAGCCTGGAGCAGCAGGAAGGTGAGCAGGGTCCAGGACCAAAGCAGGGCAACTAGAAGGCATACATGGCGTGTATAGCAGAAGGTGAGCACGGACTGGAGAGAGAGGATCAGCAAAGCTGGGGGTACTACTGACTGTAGCATCAGCAGAGCTGGGGGTACTACTGAGCAGGGGATCTGCTGAAGGAGGGTACCAATGAGTTGGGGATCTGCTGAGTGGGGCTACTACTGAGCTGGGGTCCTTTTAAAACAAAATTGAAAATCAACAAACACAGGACATTGGCCAAGCTTCATTAAAAGCAGCACCAAAGCATGAAAAAAGCATGTTGAAACAGTAGGTGCTTTAACCACTTGCCTACCGGGGCACTTATACCCCCTTCTTTACCAGGCCAATCTTCAGCTTTCAGTGCTGTCGCACTTTGATTGACAATTGCGTGGTCATGCAAGATTGTACCCATATGAAATTTTTATCATTTTTTTCTCACAAATAGAGCTTTCTTTTGGTGGTATTTAATCGCTGCTGGGCGCTTTACTTTTTTCGCTATAAACAAAAAAATTGCAAAAAATTTGAAAAAAAAAAAGTTTCTTTGTTTCTATTATAAAAAATTTTTCAAACAGGTAAATTTTTCTCCTTCACTGATGTGCGTTGATGAGGCAGCACTGATCGGCGGCACTAATGAGGTGGCACGGAATAGGCAACACGGATGATGGGTACTGATAGACAGCACTGATAGGTGGCACTGACTGGCATCACTGCTGGGCACTGACTGGCACAACCGCTGGGCACTGACTGGTGCCACTGACTGGCAGCACTGCTGGGCTGCACTGATGGGCACTGGTGGGCACAGGTGGTGGCACTGCCGGGCACAGGTAGGTGGCACTTCTGGGCACACGTGTGACACTGCTGGGTGGCACAGGTGGGTGCACTGCTGGGCACAGGTGGGCGGAGCTAGTGGGCTCATTGCTGGGCACAGGTGGGCGGAGTTAGTGGGCGAAACACTGCTGGGCACAGGTGGCGAAACTGTGGGTAGCACTGCTGGGCACTGATCATCAGGGCACTGATCATCAGTGCCCTGAAGATCGGTGCCGATCCCTGCTCTAACAACTGCCAGTTTTTGCCAGTACTTTCCTTGCGATCTGACAGTGTGAGTGCAGTGCAGCCGAGAACCGGCAATTGCATTTCCCGGTGATCAGCGTGCCATTGGACACGGCTGATCACGTGGTAAAAGGCTGCTGTGATTGGCCTTTTACCACATCATGTGATCAGCTGTGTCCGTAGGACACAGCTATCACGGAGATCGCCGGGTGCGCGCCCCCAGGGGAGCGCAGGAGAGCGCGTTATGGGAGGACGTCATATGACACCCACACAGAACTGGCCGGCCGCAGTGCAGCCGTCATTCAGCTATCTGCGGTCGGCAAGTAGTTAATGTGTGTTAAAGTTGAAGCAAGCGTAAATGAGCCCCTATACTATGAATGCAATGACTATGCTGCTTAGCTGATGGCCTCATCAATTCAGGAACAATGGCTACCACTTACATAAGAAAAAAAAAAAAAATCTATTCAACTATGTATTTTTAAAGCGATTCTAAAAGCTGATTTTTTTTTTTTCCCCAAACCCAATACTTACCTGAGCCAGATCCAGCAATGTGCACTCTCCCTCCTCATTGCCTCAAAGACAATCACAGACAGTGAGGAGGCAGTGGAGGGGGCAAGGCTAATACACAGAGCCGGCTCAGAAGGGAACATGCACACGTGCCCCCATAGCAAGCGACTGCTATGGGGGCACTCAGCAGAGGGGAGGAGCCCCAGTGGCGGACTCAAGAAGAGGAGGATCAAGGCTGCTCTGTGCAAAACCATTGCACAGAGCAGGTTAGTATAGACATGTTTACCATTTAAAAAAAAAAAATACCATGAGTATCATTTTAACTTAGAAAGTGCCTGCAGTTTCTCTTGGCCTCTTCTAAATTTTTATTTATTTTTTTGCTGCTGTGATCTGACTTCCTGTTAGAGGGGCTACATACATTCTCCATGGTCCCACTGTGTGTAGGAATGTAGCCACTCTCTCTAGCTTGCATTCTGAGATGCACAAAGCACTATGGACTCGGATGTATAGGGGTTAATTTACTAAAGGTAAATAGGCTGTGCACTGCAAGTGCAGTTGCTTTAGATCCGAGGGGAAGCTCTGCTCATTTCTTTCATGCAAGCAAAAATGCTGTTATTTTATTTTCCTTGCATGCTCCCCTCAGATCTAGAGCAACTACACTTTCAGTGCATAGCCTATTTACCTTTACTAAATCAACCCCATAGTGTGCAGAGAGCGGTGCACATGACTACAACAAACGCATTCCAAACAAACAGGAGTGAGAGGGAAAAGGAGAGTTTCAGGAGCTCACAGAAGATGTTACAAAAAAAGCAGAGAAACACAGTAAGAAACAAACAATTTCATGAAAAATAAATTACATGGCATACTGCTTCCCATACAGATGATGTAATATTGTGTTCCTTCTATTACACCTGTGTCATTTATCTGTGCACATAATCAGTATAAAATAGTAATGGCATGAAGTATGTAATGTAATGAACGGATATACTAGTGAACTACCCTAGGCTGTCTGCATATCAGATAGTTTTGTTCCTTCTGTTCAGGACTAAAAGTTGGCTCAAAGCTCTTTCCAGGATGAATGCTGATACAGATAGAGTATGGAATGCTGTTTTCTGTATTGGACACTTCCCTGTTCTACTGGGCACCATATCAGATGGAGGGGCTCCCAGGGTTGTACTGCAATACACTGTATGTCTTAGGTAAAAGGAATGTTTAGTCTAACCAATTTTTACACCTACATAAAAAACAGACACTGATCTTATCAATATGCAAAGACATTTTAAAAATTCAGCTTCTATGCAAAATCTACGTAGAATACTTGGTAGATGGAGGAAGCAATATTTGCGCAGTTCTTGGGAAGACTCTTCTTCCGGCTTTACAGCATGATACAGTGGTCATGCTTACTGCTCCTTTTCATAATGGAAGTCTAAAAAAGCATTAAAAAAAACACCAAGAAAAAAGAAAAATAGGTTTGCGGATGCTCAGATCACTAATATACACAGTGCACATATTTAAAAACCAAGTAAATTGCCCCCAACCTCAAATTTGTATTGTTACTGACAATGCACCACCATTTGCGCCTTTGTGACTGCCAGTGGGCAGAACATTCTGTCAATAATAGATTAACATTCTGGGAGAGGTCAGTTCTGTAAATCTGTAAAGTATATATATATTATGACTGTGCTACACTTTGTGTGATGTATACTACTTTTTCCACTGTGTCAGAGTTCTTACTGATGCAGATCAAGGGGCTCCAGAATGTCTATTCTGAATAGTAAAAAAAAATATTTTGCTGGTCTTTCCAAGATTGATAACTCCCAGATTAGGTTCTGGAGTCCAGAGGCTTCAAAGAGTCTGAGGGACGAAGCCTCAAAAGTTGGTCATTAATTGGTCCGTTTTTTTGATCAACCAGCAAGATGAACAAAAAAAACTGACCCGATTCCTCTATCCACACATCCAAGGTGAATGGGGGAATCCTCCTGCTGTGTTATTGTATATACAGATCAGTTCTACAGTCTATAGTCTGCAGCGCTGATTGAGCAGAAATTTTCCAGCAGGCCGGTTGATCAGTAGATCGACATCTGTACAACCACAGTGCCCATACATAGATCGAAATTTAATGAGTTTCAATCCATCTATTGGCCGCTTATCCCTGTGTCCACAGTTTACAGGAGATGGGCATGCAGATTATGCAGGTGTGCACAGCCTTTTATATAAGGAGATGGCTGCTAGTCAGGGCTACTTTCCCCTGGAGACAAGCTGCTGCAGGAGCAACATGTGTACAAAAGACACTAGAAGAGTGTCTACCCTGGCCTCAAGGAGAGGTGGCCAGATCTGATCAGGCTTTAGGAGATAC